CCCAAAGCTCGTTGGCCGTTAAAACTGAAAGCCTTGGCTCTGCAAGTAGATTAGCATGAGTGAACTTCTGTGCTTACAGATCAAGTTGCTGGATTGGGGCCTGCTCAGGAAATTCAAAAGCGAAAGGTTCCTGTGGCATTGCTCATAGGTCTTACTATATATGCAGTTGAACATGGCAAGTTGCGTAACTTCTCGTTTTTCTGAAGTGAATAATAGGAATATGCTGTAGCCGTACCGTGTGCCCAAGTTAATGCTGGAGCTGGAAGGCTTCCTCTGCTTAGCCATCTTTTAACTATTTTTACTCTTGAACCCTAATGCTATCCTGGAGCTTAGCTCTTGGGGTTCTACATGTTTAATTTGTAAAGCTCTTCATTTCACTAAATGAAGAAAAAAGATTTCTTGGCACGATAGCTTGTGGGCATCCGTTACCCTATAGACAGCTGGTGCCATTTAACAAGTGAGGCTGACAGTGTATGGAGCTGAGTGTGCGCACATCCTCATGGACACTTGTGGCTGCTTGTGCTCCAGATGGCACTTCCAAATATATGTAACTTCATGAACCAACTGGTAAATCAACTCTAATTGATTGCAAGTTTTAAACAGAGTAAGACTGAAACTGTACAGACAAGGATTTCAAAGCTGAGCTGCTTTGGAGTTATTTGCCTCCACTTCACAGAGGAAAATCCATTGGGAAAGCATGGGATGTAAAAGAGCGCTCTTGTTTGCGTTTGCCCTCTTTGATTTAAAGATGTAACTTGCTCTTTTAAATTTCCCTTGGGCTGGGAGCCAAACTGTGCTCCCTTGAAGACGATCACAAAGCGAACTTCATTGGAAATGGGATTGGGCTCCCAGCATGGAAAATAGCAATTCAAAAGAACTCTTTCTGGAGATTTATGAGCATATGAAAAGAGGGAGTTACAATGAGTTGTGTAGCTGCGTAGAAACTGTAATTACAGTGATCTCTGTGATACTCAGGGGTCACTACATTTCTCCACTGTCATGCAGGACGCGGCCATCCTTCTTACCAGAACGGGGTCCCAAAATTTCCTTTTGGGAAAATTGTTTTCCATCTAGTACTTGGCATCCTTCTGTCATGGGTGAGTAAGCAAAAGGCAAAGTGAGAGTGCCAGCCCCACTGCGAGCAAAGCGCTGGCTATGCAGTTAGACAATTGTCGTGGCTGGAGTGGAGGAGGCATTCCCATCTCCCCTCTAGCTGTTCGGTTGCGCTGCTATTCACCCAGGTGTTGGTTTTGCTATTTGGGGCTGTGCTGTGAACTAGGTCACGGAAAGGATCCAAGGCAAAAGCGTGGCGAGGGGGAGAAAAGGGATTTTTTTGTTTTGTTTTCCAGTGGTGCTGTTTGCTTGCTGAGAATTGTGTTGACACAACAGAGAGTGGTGAACCGTGGTGTGGAGGTGGAAGCTACTTAACACCAGCTTTCTCGTTAGGGCCGAAATACAGTGCAACTGTACCCTCCGGCCGAAGGAGCTTTCTTTCACACAGGGCCAGAAGCTCTGCAAACAGACCCTGCCTTCAGTGGAGTCCTGCAAGTTGTAATGAACTTTTGTGAAGCCGTTTTAATTGGCTCAATTGGGCTTTCAGTTCACATTTGTTTGTGGAGGGATGGGGCTGCTGCCTTACACAGCATTGTTGTCCTTGCCCAGAGGGGTAGGGTAAGAATCATCATTCGTAGTGACTTAGTAGCGTTCAAAGACTGTGCTTAGTTTGGGTATGGTTGTGCTATGAAGGATACACTTACAGCTTGTCTTCTCTAGCTTTGCTCAGGCTCTAGTGGTGGGCACTATTGGGCTGGTGGCTAATCCAGGGTTGACTTCTGTCTATGCCATTGAAAGAGCTCCAACCCAGAGGTGTAGTTTAGTATGTTACTTGTCTTTTGGTCCCCTCCCTATCTTTTCCCCAGTAGTTCCAGAAGCTTTTCTGGGGTAAGGCTGGTCCCCTTCCTGCTGTAAATTAGACCAGGAGGTAGGTAACCGGCTTGGCTTGGCTTGGCTATGAGCAGTGTGTGTTTGGACTGTGCTCCTCCCTCCTTGGTTTCTTCATCTCATCCCACTCAGACTGGGAGTGGTGTCTAGCTAGCAGCCCAGGCTATCCTTTGCTGGCCAAATCTAGGAAGCCTTGTTGATAATCAGCCTCAGTTGGGCACCAGACAAAGCCAGTGGTCTTCTGCTTTTTCCAGCTGAAGTTGGGCAGATACATTTTATTCCCAGGAGCTCTGTAAATGCTTTGACAGGAGGATCTATTTAGCTACTGGTGTGTCCTGCAGCTGGGCCAAGGAGGTGGTGCAGAGTCCCCAGGTTCATCATACTGCTTTTGACAACAATCCAGGAGACTTAATGTTTTTTGGGGGCCGCCTTGTTGACTTTTCACAGAGCTGTGTCAAAACCGTTGCTCTTGTTTACACAGAAAACGAAAGTTGGCGTGATCCAGCCTGCCCTAATGTTCCTGTGTTGGTCTTCCCATGAGTCTGCTTTCTCTGTCTGGTGCCCAGCGCTGCCTTGCTTCATCCACCATCACATGGACACTGCTCATTCATGGTTCCTGTCTAGGCAGCCTGTGCATTTCCACAGCAGCCTCTACTTCCCAAAATGTTCTCCGACATCTCCAGAGAAGTGTGACTGTGTGCTGCTGGGGGTGAGAGGGGTCAGAAGAGGAGCTCTGTTCCCAGTCGCTGTCTCAGCTCTGATTCTTCTGTCTGGGAGTTGGGGGAAAGTTCTTTTATGTGGTTAGAAGAAAAGGCCGGGAGTTGATACTTTCCTAGAAGCCTAGGAAAAATGCATAACCCTTCTTGATGTATGCTGGCAGCTCTCCTTGCTTTTCCTATTCCTGTAATGTGGCGGTATGTGTTTTTGGAGATAGTGGTTGTTCTCAAAAGGACTCCAGTAACATCACAGTTGGTGGTTTAAACCTATAATACTTGTTATCACCTTTTGTACAACTGAGGGTGTTTCGGGTTTGTAATGCCTGATGATTACAAGGTCCTGTGTAGACATCTCCTGTGTTGGTATCTTGGCCCTTTTTGAGGGGGGGGGGGGGGGGTGGCCTCACCCCCGTTGATTGGAGAGGGACAAACAAAGAGGGAGGATTTTTCCATGGTTGCCTAGGACAGTAGCAGGACAGAGGTAAAAATCAGCTTTAATGAGTCCCAGCCTATTGCTGGAGCCATAAGCTACAGGCTGTGTGCAAGTCTAGGAAGTTAACGAGTGTTAAAATCATGTGTCCCAGGCTGGCGGATTTTTATTCCTGTTACAGTAATGATGCCATTTTCCAAACTGTGCCGTGCCTTGGCTTTATGTTTCACTGTGTTTAAATCCATCCTCATTCCTCCCCTCCCCAAACCGGGCCTTACGTTCCCATCCTTATTTGTCCTTCCTAGCTTCTCTGCTGCCTTTAAGCAGCTTTCTCGAGGCATGATATGCACTTAGAGCTTGGGAATTCCTGTACACAAAAGGTCCCTCCCGCCTTCTCCTTTCCAAGAGCCCTGGCAAGCCCAAGTGTTGTGCAAATACCTGCAGCTCTCCATGCAGCAGGAACGCTTCTTTACTTCGTTGCAGATTGCACCGCCAGCCAAGGAACCCTGTGGGGAAGAGGCTTCATTCTTTGGCACGGCTTGCATGTGGTAGAGCTCTCTGCTCAGTTACGAGCTTTTCTGGAGGTGTTAGTGGAGGAATCTTATGGTTGGAAAGAATAGTTGGCCAAGTATAAAGCCCGATTTCTGTTGTTGTCCCTCTGTGTTTGGAGAGGGAGAGGGCTGAAAGCAGTGGTCGACTGTTTTATTGCTAACAGCTTTGAAAACGGCTGTGAACAGAAAATGATGGAGGGATCTAATTTAATTTTTAAAGCGGTCTTTTGCACGCTCTGGAAGTATAGCATGGCTGTAGTCCTGTGCTGGCTGGAGGTAGCAGGCGACTGGGCAGGAGGCACGTGAGAGTCCTCCTGCGTGCCAAATGCTGGGCTGTGCCAAGGTACCTCTGTCCGTAGCTGCAACCCCTCTGTCTGCACCTCTTCACCGTTTGCATGCGTTTCCCCAAACCGGTGACTAACTCCCCTTCATTCCATTTCTCTTCTCACTTAACACAGGATGTGGATTTGGAAAGCAGGATGGTGTCTACCCCTCTTCCTCACAGGGTTCAGGGGTTTTGACATGTCACCGTTGGGAATTGTACTGATGTCACCCTGTTCCTGTTCCAAAAAACATGACCCTCTTCTGCCCTTTACAGATGGGACTTAAGCTTCTGTTCCAAATGGAAGTACGTTGTAAGAAGTGTTGGCCCATATAAGCTAGAAATGATCTCTAATCAACTCTCCCCAGTGTTATTAGTGTGTATATATAGAGACAATTTTTAATAAAATTCAATTCTTCAAGGCCCAAATTAGCTTCTGGAGGCAAAGGTTACAAAGAAAGGGAGGTGCTTATAGTACCATTGATTGTATAGTAACTAATGCTTGTAAAATGTGGGCACACCTTCCAGTTGTGAAAACAAAGCAGGTTCAGACATGGTGGTCTGATCCTCTCCTGCATTTCTACTAGGAAAGTCACCCTCACCCCCCACCCCTTCCCCCTGTATATAGGCTATAATGCTGCCGTTCAAAATCTGGTGGGTATTTGGGCTGTGTATTACACAGGTGAAGAAATGGGGGTGTGGAAGTTGAGCCTGGTACTTTTTCTGGGGGTGAATTTTTGTATCTAGGCTGCTGAGCCTTCTTCAAGTTACTGTCTTTTCCAGGTGACTTATGCTGTTTCTTCTGGATTTTTAGATGAATGGGCTAGACTTTGCAAAACAGAGATACCTTATCAGTTTGCTTAAAGCTCTACAAATGCATGTATTTCACTAGACCGGAAAGAGAGATACCAGCCAGGACAAGCTTGTGAATTGGGCACAGTGAGATGAGTGGTGACATGTGGCTAGGGTGAGGGAATTGCTGCAGTAGGAATGATGTCTTGCTTTGCTTAGAGTGCACTGCCATGCCTGTTTCTTTCCTCAGGTCGATCGTGAGGAGCCGAGCACCCTCCCTCCCCTCCCCTCTTACCGGATTCCTCGTAAGTGAAGCTCGCTCACTCTTTGAGGACCAGACCTCACTGATGACTGGGAAGCAAAGAGTACCCAGGAAAGCACTTTTACCACGGACTCCACCTCAGGAGCACCAGGAACTTGTCTTCTAAGTAAAATCTGTGCCCCTTCTGTGCAGACCTGATGTCTGCTGCAATGGATACAGAATCAACATATTCGGGATACTCCCACTACTCAGGTCACTCCAAAAAAGCCCACAGACAAGGGTAAGGAAATGTTTATTTTTAATTACTTACTGCTGTAAGCTAGGACATGTCCCATGGTAAAAAATTGTAAGCCAGGATGAAATCAGTGGGGCCACAGCTATGGAGGAGATGCATGTGGAGAGTCCTTATAAGGAACATAGTGAAGAGACTGAAAGCAATAATGCTGGTAATTTAATGATATTCAACCTGTTGGATGCAGGCTGGGGTAACGTATGGCCAGCAAGATTGGGATAGTGCCAACAGAAGGATAAGATCACTTAACTCTGCTCTTGAAGTGCGAGGGATGAGTAGAGTCTCTGGGGAGAAGATGTCAGTCGTCCTAAACCAGTAATTGCCGGTTTTCTCTTCTGATGCCATTTCTTTATTGTGTAATAAGGTTTTCTATCTCTCCCCACCATCCTCCTGGCTATTCTGTTGCTGATGTGTTGGGTTTTTTTAATAGAATTTGAGTGGTACTTGAGTCCACAACAAGTCCTTTATCGGCATTGATTGGATTAGAAGTCTGGCTTTTCTGAGCAAGTCCTCTCTGTTGTGGTAGTTCAGCAGCCTCAAAAACCATCTTGCTCTGAAACTTCTGATTACTTGGAAACATTATCCTTTTTTTTTTCCCTGCATCATCATTAGTTTTACATGCAAAATGTGTGCCACTTACAGTCTTTGCAACTTAGAACTGAGCTGGTCCAAAATAACTTTGCATTTCAGAAGCAATTATCCTGTGTGGTTGGAAAAGTAATTCTTCCATGAAATGAAGTCTCTTTGCTCGCAGTCCAGTTATTGAGTAAAACATATCTTGTTTGCCTTTTCTCCCTTCCTTAACACCCCCACCCCCAATATGGATGGCCCTTTGAAGCTTAGAATGCCATGTGGAAAGATGCCTTCAAAGTTCCCAAAACAACATAAAAATCCTAGAGCCTCTTCCTGTGAACAGGAAAAAGTCTCATCCCAGGAAACCTTTGGGCTTTGGGAATTCCAAGAGAGATGCAGTGGAGAGAGCAGAGCTGGGACACTGGATGCTCCTGAGCTTTAAGCCAGTCCCTGAGCACAGTGAGGGTCTCTGGTTTAAAGGCTGCTTTCCTGTCCAGGCAGGAAGGGGGAGGAAAATATTGGTGAGCAGGTTGGTGGAGCTTAACTCATCTTGACACATCCTCAGACAAGAAGCTGTGAGGTCTACAAGGGTATTCTGGAAGTAAGGACTAGCCTGGTACCCTTGATGTTCTTGCTGTCTTTGTAAGAGGTTAACTGGGGGTTATTAACCGGTGGAAATAAACTTTACCAATTGTCCTACAGTTTTAAGGTCCTAGTTGGCAAGACTCTACGTTGCAGGATCTAAAGCTGTCTTGATTAATTCCTTCTGTTAACTGCACATGTCCCTGTGAGACACTGTTGCAGATGGAGAGCTGTGTAGACTAGTTAATCCCCAGTGGAATTGCCAGTTGTTTGGAGAATGCGACCTTCCCTTCCAAGCACAGCACTGGCAGAAGCTGTTTTAAGAGAAGATGAGGTGGTGGGGGTGTACCTCTGTCCCCTTTGCTCCCCTCGCTGATCACTGAGAGGGTAGACTGTCCCAGCCACCAGGCTGTAGGCTGCTCTGGGCAAGGTCCCTCTCTACCTCTTCCAAAGCTTTGTCACAGATTGGGTCAATATTGATCAAGAGATGGGCAAGCATGACTATGACCTAAAGCTTAGGGCACCTGCTGCAGGTAAAGGTGTAGCAGATTCCAGGCCCTGCTCCAGAAATTATCTGGTAACGTTGTTCTCCTCTTGCTCTGTTTGGAAAAGGAGTCGGGACAGGCACAAATCACCGCGAAGCAAAGACGGCAGTCGGTCTGAGAAGTCCGTCACTATCCAGACACCTCCTGCAGAGCCGCTGCTTGGGAACGATGCCTCTCGGGCAGAGGAGGGCCAGGTAAGGAGGGAGTGAAAGCAAACGTGGAGCGTGATTTCTGGAACAGAGCTTGTGACTTACCGGCACATGGGTAGGAAAAAAGTGTTGCTCACGTGCTGTTAGTAAAGAATCATGACTTATGGGTACCCTTTATTCATGCATAAAGCCAAGGTCTCAATCAGTTTTATCTTTTCTGAGAAGCATTATTTTTGACAGCACCAGTGCTGATATGACTACTCCTGGGGCACTAATTTGCCTCTGTCTCCAGAGCATCATCTGCCAAGCTCTGTAGAAACATATGTTTCCATCATCTCACTGTGCATTATTCAGGTCAACCCTTTCACCTGTATGTGCAGTTTTGTTTTTAAGCAGGATTTGCTCTAGGTAATTGTGTAAAGCGCATAAGGACCAGGATCCCGATAGAGAAAGGAGGCAAGAAATGTAAAGTAATGTGAAATAGCTGGGAAGGAGGATGAACTCAGTGGAATTTAGTACATTAACACTGAGTTAAATAAAGAATGGAATAATGCTGAGTTTAGATTGCACCTAGGATGGATCCAGTACTCTTTCTGCTCTAGCAGTTGATGTGAAGGTGCATATTCATTTTCAAAGAGTGGCTGATGCTGCAAGATATAGAATGCAGGATGTTTCAGTGCCTCCTGGGCTGGATTTGGGGTGTGTTAATCCTTAGCTGTGGGGCTCCACCTCTGCCCTTTCAAAAAAAAAAAAAAAAAAAAAAAAAAAGTGATGCCTAGTTTCCACCCAATCTGTGTATGGTAGCACGTGTAACAGTACTCGTGTAGCCACGGGTGGGCTCACTTCATGTACTGCCATTTGGTATTTTGTCATCAGATGCTTGTTTTCATGAGTCCCAGCTATTACTTCAAATAGATCTAAAAGTGCTGGTCAATTCTTAAGCTCTTGTTTTCACGCTGACCTCCTCAATTTGAATTAAAGCCAAAGCGAAATAAGTTGATGCATGAGCAAGACTTCTCTGCTAGGGAGCAGGGTGCCCTGGGTTGGGTACAACAACTTTGTACCACTAAAGATTTAGACTTATATTTCCAAATAACTGCACATTTTTTTTTTGCTTATGCTACTTTAAAATGGGAAGAGCTGTTATAAGAGGTAGACTGAGACTAGAGTTGCCTGTTGTCTTCAGGGCTGTAGCCTTAAGCTGCTGTGGTGTTTCTGTCCTTTCTGTCTTCCACGCAGTTTCTCAGTTCATCAAATGGAGGAAACTATGCAGAGCTATTTCATGCATAAACATAAAATAGTTGAAATGCTTAGATTGCTTTACTGAAGACACTGGCAAAGAGGGAAATGTGATAGGATTATGCTGCTTTTCAGGACATACTACAATGCAGGTATCTCTTCTGGGGCCTCTGTTTTGGTGAGAAGCAACTCAGAAAACCCCTCGTATTAATTCAAGATGCTGACTGTTTGTGGTTGGTCTGTCTCAAAACCCTACTGCTCTAGGCATGGGAGGTATTCATGTCTTGGAGTGCATTAGAAGTTAAATCCCTGGAGTTGTTCAGAGTAGTCCTGCTGCCTCTGTCTAGTCCTTTCCCAGAGATTCTTGAAGAGTCTTTCTTCTGACTTTTTTAAAGAAGTGAATAAAGGTTTAAAATTATGCCTGTTTCTTTAAAATGAAATGCTTTGATCAGCATGTGTAGCTGCAGAAGTCTGGGAGAAGGTGTAAATCCTGTTAATGACACCAGCTGCAGGAGGGTAGGAGGAAGAGCAAAACGTGTGCTTCTGAGTGTTGCAGCTACAAAGGTGTCAGGTACCAAGCAGCATTGCGCATGTATTGCCACTGTTTGGTGTGTGTTTGTGGGAAGCATCAGAAGTCTTCATGTGCATGAGTCACTCCAGCAGCAGCTGTGAGTCAAATCCATACATGTCAGTGTAACTCTTTGGCTGTGCCAGCACCAGGAAGGAGCAATTGGAGGCATCGTGGGATGGGAGAACTAGCTTGCAGAAGTCCCCAGTATTAGCTAGGGAAGAAGTGAGACTTTCAGAAAACGTAATGTGATCTCAAGCTTGACTATATGGCGACTGTATTTCAGGGAAGCTTCTTTGTGCCTGAGTGGCTTCTGACAATATCCTGGACTCGAATACCAGAGGTACTTGGTAGTCTAGGATCCTCTAAACTTAAAGCCCCATGCCTGAAAATATCCTCTGTGACCACCTGTGATTTGTTGGTTTAACTAAACTTTTATTAGAATGTCAGCTATTGAGGGCAGCGCTACTGTGGAGGAGAATAAAAGAAAACAAAGTGGAGGAACTTGCTGGCAGTGCGGTTGCTTCTGTTACAGATGGAAAAATAATGTGTGAACATGTTTTTGATTGTGTAACAACAACAACTGGCTTGAAACACTGAAATGAAAATTTCCCTTCCAGGTGCTTCTGTGGTGCACTTGCACCACAGAATTTGTGGGCTGGAAGAGTGCTAGTCCTTGCCCTGCACATGGGAACTGGTGATTATTGCAGTTTCCAAGAGTTATGTGATATTACTTAAGTGTGCTGGAAGAGGAACCGCTGGGGTACAGCGAGTGGTATAGCAAGCTGAGCTACCTGCTCTACAGTAACAAGTTTTTAACACTAATGTTTATAGTCACTGGTTTGGACAAGTTGCTGTTGTTTCCAAACCTTTCCTAATTTTCAGGGTTGATTATTCAATATGTTGACAGTGTTGCTTTTGCTATTTTTTTTTTTTTCCCTGGGACTTAAGTCTGTTGTAGCAATCCCTTTCCAGGCAAGAAGAATAGAAGACCTGGAAGGAATAACCTGATTATTTCAATATTATTTTTGTTTATCTCTTCCTCTCTCAGGATGACAACTGGGGTGAGACCACAACAGCAATCACAGGCACCTCTGAGCACAGTATTTCCCAGGAGGACATTGCCCGGATCAGTAAGGATCTGGAGGACAGTGTTGGGTTGGACTGCAAACGTTACCTGGGCTTAACAGTGGCAGCTGTTCTCGGACTTCTTGTCTTCCTTACCCCCATCGCCTTCATTCTGTTACCCCAGATCCTGTGGCGGGATGATCTGGAGCCGTGTGGTACTGTTTGTGAGGGACTATTCATCTCTGTGGCATTTAAACTCCTCATTCTTCTGATTGGGACCTGGGCTCTGTTCTTCCGCCAGCCCAAGGCAGATATACCAAGGGTGTTTGTGTTTCGGGCCCTTCTGTTGGTCCTCATATTCCTGTTTGTGTTTTCCTACTGGCTCTTTTACGGCGTTCGCATCTTGGACTCGAAGGACACCAACTACCAAGGAATAGTACAGTACGCGGTGTCTCTGGTGGATGCTCTGCTCTTCATTCACTACCTGGCCATTGTGCTGCTGGAGCTACGGCAGCTGCAGCCCATGTTCACTGTCAAGGTAGTTCGGTCAACAGACGGAGAGTCACGATACTACAGCTTGGGGCACTTGAGGTAGGTACGACGCCTTGAAGTCCAGCGGTGTAGATAAGCGTGGCTATGCTGTAGCATGAAGCATCAACTGCTTTTGTACATGCGATATTGCTGGTTTCTGAATCTTCCCCCAGAGGAGTCCTAGAGTCTCTCCACAGTTACCGAACTGAACCTCTCTTCCCCTCTGTGAGTGTGGGAGAGGTTGTCCCTGCTTCAGAGGAGTCTGTGCATTTCTGTAAATGGAAAGAGCTGATGGTACAACTTCAGGCTGATCATTGGGCTAAGCCTGATGAGATCTTTAAGATCCTTCTCTGGGCTTCTTGCCCTGTCTCCGTACTGGAGGAAAGGGGAAAGGCCTCCTTGTTTAGCCAGGGCTGGCTTGTGCTCTTCGGCTCTGTATGGATCAGTTTAGGTATAGATATAGATCAGTTTGCTGGGTCAGATGTATCTGGGAGTGTTTGGGAGCTGTGCAATATCCATAGGTGTGACACCTGCATGCCTGCTTCCACCTTCCTGCTGGGGTTAATGCTTCCCTCAGCAAAGGTATAAGAAAGGACAGGCGTCTCAATCTCCTTAGTTCCCATGTCCTGTGAAGCTCTCTAGAAATGTCTTAGTTCCTGTGCCCTGTGAAGCAGGCAGCTGAGCTCTGAAGGTGATTCCCCAGACTGTATGTGCACTTAAACATCTGTTCTGCTTATCCTGTCCAGACCCCTATGGCATGCGTATCTATTGCAGATGGAGAGATTAGTGTCTGCTGGTTTAAGTGGATGTAGGAACAGTCTCCTGCAGCCATTAGCTGAGCGATGGAATTGCTTTGAAGCAGATTTAGTGGTTGAAGCTCAAGTCTGGGAGTTGACTCCTGGATGTTGTTTCTGGCTTAATGGAAGAACTCAGGGCCTTTTGGGTGGACTAGGTCTGGATTCTGCTGTGTTTTCCTTCTCTGTAAAATGTGAAGGAGAGCCCCTCTTGTGTAATGGAAGTGTTCCCATTGACTTAATGAAAGGTCACCTTCAGGGATTAAAAAAAATGAAGTAATCTCAGCTGGTTTTCTTGTGAAACTTTTTTTTTTTTTAAACTTAAAATTTACTCTGTGGTACATGGCAGATCCAGCGTAGCCTTTAAGACTAGGGAGATGGAGAGATGACTACCAAAGAGTTCCCCTGTGCCACAGCTTTGTGGCTTGAGGTGTGCTGCAGCAGTTCTCTCTTAAGTGAATTCCGCACAGAAAGTTCAGTACATGTATATATACACCTATATACACACACAGTGTGCAGGTTTGGTTTGAGAGAGTTTGCTTGTTGCTCGGTGGTAGATTGTGGGTTTGTGTTCAGAGGAATTAAGATCCTACGCCTGCCAAAGTCTGTATGCCTGGCTTTAACCATGTAAGTAACCTTGCCATTGGAGGCAAAGAACTTGCTTGAGAATCAAGGCCTAAATATTTAGTAGCACATGTGTTAGAAACGGTGTTCTCTCCAATTCTCTCTTTGTAGCAAGGTTTTGAAATGCCTTGGGTGATGCGAGGGCAGCAAAGAGTTGTAAAACCTAGGGTGAAATCTGAGATGTATGAAAAATTAATAACTTTTCATTTGTTGGCAAGCTGATTGCAATTTTGTTTGGCATATTGAATCGAAACCATGCAGCATGTAGATGCTTCAGTGTCTTGTGTTACAGGAGTGTCTTGCTAAGCGTGTCCAATAATGGTAAACTAGTGTTGCTTTTTCCTTAGTTTCTGAAAGATGAGTATAATATGTATTGACACATGTTTTGAAGCCTGTGTGTTTTTCCATCTTTGCTAATGTAAAGGTAGAACTGTGTAGGTTTGATCAGTGGCCAAGTGTCTCCCAGCTAAGGGAGAGTTCATTCTCTCTCCCTCTTGCTACAATCAACAGGAAGAGTTACTTGTGTGTTAACGGTGAGAGCTGCTGGTCTTCATACAGAGTGTGGCCCCAATGTGACAAACGCTGTAAGAAGTGTATGTAGTTGGTATCTCCTTCAACTTCTAGAGGCTTAGGATTGTGAGATATTTATGTAAAACATGAGAAATTTGGGAACTTTTGAACATCTTTGCAGCATAATTTTGCAAAGTTTCCGTAAAGGTCTTGACAGGCTTGTCGGTGAATTGTCAGGGTCACGAGGGGCTGCCTTCTGCCTCTGGCTGAGGCATGGGGCTGGAATGGGAGGTCTGTTGATGGGAAAATGTGGTGACATGCAAGGACAGTTTGGTTTATTCCGGAAGACTGGAGAAGCAGCCTCATGGATGTGCTGGAGAGGTGGTTGTAGCTATGATGGAGTATGCATATACTACTTGTTGCTGCCTCTGGGCTCTCCATTTGCCACCATGCGTGCTTGCTTCACCCCAGCACTTTTAAAGGGGTCTTAGGTTGTGGGCTGCCACCTGGAAGGAGCAAGCATGCTTTAACAGGTATAGCAATCTGACTGCCTCCTGAAATCAAAACCTTGCTGCCTCAGTCCAGCCTTTTGCCCTCTTCACGCTCTCAGATATCTTCAAAGTTTTGCTCCCTGGCTGTTCATGGAGTCTGTCTTGCTCAACTGTCCAGGGTGCTCTGGAGAAGCTGGTGGCAAGAAGGCTCTTGAGACATCTTACCTTGTTCAATGTTGCTTCTTGGAGTAGCTCTGGATTTTCCGCAGGAAAATTGTTGCTATCAACCTTTTTAATCCAAGGTGGAAGCTTTCAAATTCTAGGTCTTTTCTGATGAGGCAGAGGGACCTGCTATGTAAGTATGAGGAAGACAGACTTTCTGGGGGAGAAGGGAAGAAAACAATAGCTCAGCCACCCTTTTCTGGAAAACCATGTTTTTGCCAGGCAGGGTACAGACAGGATTTTCCACCCTCCCTGGCTCCAAATGCAGCAAAGAAGCTGAAAGTGCTGAGTTAGGTATTCCACTCCACCCCTGAGGCCTCTAGGTCCAGGAGGGTAAGCATATTTGGGAGTAGTTCCCCAAATTCATATTATAATCAACCTATTAATAGGCTGGCTTGGTCCCACCCCCAGCACTTTGGCTGTAGCTTTTCTTCTGGGAGACTTGACTGCCAAAACGAGCATTCCCTTTGGCATTGATTCAGGAGCTTGGGGGGGAGGTAAAAATTAAATTGGAGTCCCAGTGAACATGGTGCCAAGTCTCAGCTCACTGATTGCTGTGCTGCTTCTGGTAGGAAGGGCTGCCACGCAGGGGGAACGCTTTAAGGTGGTATGTATGGGTAAAGAGCGGGGAAGAGAGTAGATGCAAGAAAGGTCAAGCCTGGGAAAATGCGAGAGGTTGGGTGGGGATGCTGGCGAGACTCTTGGAAGCAACAACAAAGGTGGGGGAGAGCGACAGTAGATAACTTTTTCAGTTGAAAGGCTGATACTTTTGTGAGCTGAGGCTTGGATTTGCAGCTGAGGCTTTGGTTTGTCCCTACAGATAGGGACACTGATGGAGCCTGTCATCCACAGTTGAGTACCTTCTGGATAGCTCAGAAACTACATAGGAAGGATGTTGCTGGATAAAACCCTCCTTTTCTGTAGTTAGGGTGCTAAACATATTCCCTTCCTCTCCAGTGAATACTCTTTCCCCACCCTAGAGCTTTGCTAGTCTAGACAGCTCAAGAAAATGAATGGCTTCAAACACATGGTAATTACTGATCTTACACATAGACTGAATGTTGGGCTCCAGTATAGCCTTGGTTTTCTGAGGTTAGAAATGTCTGAGACTGGGTCTTTCCTCCCTTTTGCTCATCCTTGCAGTAGGGATATGAGGAGCAAGGCCATGATAGTTCATCATGTGTTGGGCTGTATGAAGTACTGAGAGCTTCAGCCTGCTTTTCTCTTTCCTGGCATGGGCTTGCCTTTATGAACCAACTGGCTGAGAAGCTAGTGGGAGGCCTCCGTATGCCTTTGGAATAGGGGTACAGTTTTTGCAGATGGCTGTGAGCTGGTTGATGTTCTCTGTCCATCTAATCAAGAGCAGTTTAGTGCTCGGAAATAGCAGCTCTGTATAGAAAAGGTCTGTTAGAGCATTGCCTGTACCCGTGTTACCCATCTGCATTTGGACAGATGTTTGCTGAACTGTGGTTTAAAAATCCAGGAAGGGAGCAGCTGCTTCCTCAAAACAGGTACCTGTCACTGAACAGCCTGTACCTTCCCTGCAGGCATTATCAATATCTCATTGGGAAATCTCGTGCACATGCTCATAAAAAGTAGACGCATACGTGTTTTGCAGAAGGGGAAAACATCCAGCCTGTCTCCCAGCTGAACTGGAGTAGCTGTTTCTTAGGCGGTGCATGAGCCTTTAGCTTTAATACAAACCAGAGCTGAAGCAGAATTGCATGGTGGAAGCTGGTGTCACTTTTGACCCAGCTGTTTTGGCTTGGCAGTCTTGTATCTATTGAACCTGTTGCTTATAAAACTGATCTCTAGGCTGTCAGTATTTACTGATCTAATCTGAGGAGTGCTCTCTTGTCTGTGTCCCTTGGTGCCACTGGGGCCGTGTTCCCTAGTCAGGGAGTGCGTAGAGGGCTAAGGAGTGGAAATAAGCTTCTTCATACTCCAGCCCGCATTTGTAAGCCTTGCACATCTGATCTTGCAACAATGGGGTGTTGCTCAAGTATGTCTCGCCTTATCAAGGGTGACATTTTTCTAATGAAGAACACCTGGTCAACATTTGAACTGTACGCAGTGCTCTTGCCTGGAGTTGTGTCGACACTCCTCTCAAGGCTGTGTTGTCCTAAAATCTCCCTACGCCTCAAAAGGAAAGCTTCCATGGCATATAGACACTTTTGTTTCTGTTTCTAGTATGGTGACATGTATCAGCTTAGCCATGGGTTTAGGAAGCTGGATCTCTTGCCTGAGGCAACAGCTGCTGAAATCCTGCTGTTTTCTGGTGAAGGAACTTCATAATGTGTGTCTAATTGCATGGGTTGATCATAGTGTGACTGATCCCGTATGCTTGTGGGCCATTTCTGTTTCCAGTCGGGCAGTCAGAAGTGGGACTGCAGAACAAGCATAGGTGCACACTAGTGCA